GTGTGTAGTCTGATTTCTCCATTTCTGAAAAAAAAAAAACAGTTCCTTGAATTATGTCCCTATGAGGTTATTCTGGTCACAGTGTCTGCAGAATAAATACAAATCTAAACAATATATACATATATACATAAATATTAATCATGCCTCAATAATGTAATGGCTTTGAATCATCTCCATTTGGGGGCTTTTCTTAACAAATTTTGGAGCACGTTATGCCATTATGTGATTAATTTAATTAATTGCCATATATTAATTAATTGAAATACATAATTAATTACACTTTTATATAAATTGACAGCATTAGTTTCTATAACCTAATTTAATGCTCCCAGCACACCTGTTTAAAGTGCATGCATCTTATTTCTCCATTTTTAGTGTGTAGTCTGATTTCTCCATTTCTGAAAAAAAAAAAACAGTTCCTTGAATTATGTCCCTATGAGGTTATTCTGGTCACAGTGTCTGCAGAATAAATACAAATCTAAACAATATATACATATATACATAAATATTAATCATGCCTCAATAATGTAATGGCTTTGAATCATCTCCATTTGGGGGCTTTTCTTAACAAATTTTGGAGCACGTTATGCCATTATGTGATTAATTTAATTAATTGCCATATGTTAATTAATTGAAATACATAATTAATTACACTTTTATATAAATTGACAGCATTAGTTTCTATAAATAAATACAAAATTTGTCCCACAATATACATTTCAAAATAATATAAATGATTTTTATTTATTATTATTTATTATAATCTACTTATTATATTTATTATTTAATTTATTTATTTGGGAGAAATAATATATTTTTAAAACTAATTACGATTAATTTAAATAATTAATGGAATAAGTTAATTAATTAACACAATTTAATCTAATTTACATTTACAGAGGCTAGAGGCTACATGACATTCATTTGGATTATTTTGAATAATTAATTAGTTATGTATTGACACATAATTAAATTACTTGTTTTAATTTATTTACAGCTCTAGTTTCTTTAAATGAATAACAAAAATTAGGGATGCACCGATACCACTTTTTCCAGTACTCGCTCGATACCGATACTTTTATTTTTGGTACTTGCCGATACCGAGTACCGATACCGATATTTTCATTGCATTTGTAAATGTTTTAAATATTGGGTACAGAAACCAAAAGAGTATGTATAATGTTAGTTGGTTAACTTCATTTATCAAATAGATACAGTCAAACCAAAATCTATT